CAAATAAATATGTATTATCGCTTTGTTTTTAGGACAAGCCGTAGCAGTGATAAGAACTTTAGTTCTAAGATGCACATTAATTCTGTTGTTTATGTGACGCATAAACCATATGTTAGAGTTAATAATGAGGCATAAAATATATTTATATCACTGATGCAGTTATTACCCCATGCTAAGATAGAAACATTACACTGATATGACTGAAAGTACACATGTGCACAAGATGTCTTATCATAGTTCTAGTTAGTTTTAAGATTTTTGTATTTAGCTATTAAGATCATTGATTTTAAATAAACTCTTAATGTCTTACAAACATTCATTCGAACAGTACGTTCATATATGGTCCTTCGATAAAAAAAAAACCAGCGCAAAAAGATTAAAAAAAATATATATACAATAAAAAATATAAATAAAAATTTAAAAAGAAAAAGTCGACTTAAATAAAAAAAAATAATAAAAAAACATTAAAAATGGCTCAGAGACAAAATTTATACGAATCTCAAAAGCAGATCACAGATCAGTTGACTGCAATTTTGGCGAAGATTGAACGCACAGAGATACGTAGTGCATCAATTGCACAATATCAAAACCGCATCGATAGCTTAGAAAGACAATTTTATGAGAACGACACTGTTCACAATAAGCTTGGAGAGACATCAGAGGACTATTTTAATAATAAGTTCTTCCAAAATGGGATTGATCTTATTAAACTGTGCAGAACTGCGATGCAGAAGTTGGCCAAACTTCTGCAGAAGCTATATTGGCGCCCAAAAAAGCAGAAAACTTAGAAGAAAGCCAAATGGAATCCAGCCATCAGAAATCATTAGAATCAATTAGGATTTCTATAAAAGATGAGGTGATGGAGCAGGTGAGATTTATGATGCAAGAATTGTTGCATCAGTTAAAACCCAACCTTGCGGAAAACTCTAAAAAAGAGTTAGAAAGAGCTCCAAGAGAGCTAGAGAATGCTCCAAGAGAGCCAGAGAATGCTCCAAGAGAGCCAGAGAATATTCCAAGAGAGCCAGAGAATGCTCCAGGAGAGGAAGAAAATACTTCCAAAGAAGAGAAGGTAAAAACCCATGATGAAGCCGGCATAAGAAAAGAAGAGGAAGTGACGTCCAACTTGCTCATTCAATTTCGTAGAGAAATTCAAAAATTAAAAGAATGTTTATCTGACATTGAAGCAGAAAACGTTCTAATACTCGAGCACAAAAAAAAGCTCTTGGGAAAAAATCATGGTGGATATAAAACAAATCCACCGTGAATTAGTGGTCAATCACTCCGTAAAAGATGATATTGATGAAGAGCTGGAGTTGATTGACAAGCTATATGGAGAAGCATTAAAGGAAATACTAATAAAAATTTCCACAATGCAAGAAGAGAAAAAAGCGGTGCACAGTGGGGCAGAATGGAAATTTTTTGGAAATAAATCTGGCATTTCTAAACGGCTGATCCGATCGGGATAAAATTTGGCGTGAGCGTAGCCAAGGAGTATTCGAGTTTAAGTTTTGAAGATGAACCCTGCAGATGCCCCAGGGACGGCGCTGTGGCGGCTCAAAGTAGGGTACCTACGACATGTAAAATTTTTAAACTCGTGCCATTTTTTTGTTTTTCACCCAAATACAAAGATTTTTATATTTTGTGAAAGCGCTCAACGAGATCTTGAAAAAACATGCTTGGACATACTACTTATCTCTTATAATATCCAAGTTATAGGCATTTAAAAATTTAGTGATACAAAATTTACCATACCTTGGTCCGCCTTTTTTTGAATACCGGGCGTAATTTTGGACCAAATGGACTCAATTTTTTCTTGTTAGTTAGACAACAAAATTTCCAATAATATACAAAAAATTTCAGATCAATATCGTTTACAGATCCAAAAATATACGTTTTTTAATTGAAAAATTCAAAAAATTTTAGATTTTTGGCGTTTTTTTTGCCAAAAATGTGTCTTAACTCTTTTATTAATAAAATAAAATTTTTATTAAGAACATATAACAATTTTATAGTTTTCTAAAAGGTATCTTTACGCAGAACGCTTTGGCGTAAAAAACTTGTCCTATTTTTTGAAAATGTTGCCACTGCGTCCTTCCGAATATGACCTATTTTTTATCAAAACTTCAACTTTGGGCGACATGTTCTAAAATCCCAAAGCTGGGATCAGAAAACTGAAAGCAGTTTTGGAAACCTCAATATGTTTTCTATTTACTCCAAAAGTATTTTCCCAGCCCTGAAAGAAATGTGGACCCTATGGGCAAAAAAGTAAAAAATCCCATTTTTGGGATTTTCATTCCTATTTTTGGGAATTGCGGGATGCCCTTTGACCTTTTCAATTTTTTTTTTTTTGCATATTCTTATTTGAAATGACAAATTTAACAAGCGTTGAAAATTTCATTGAGTTTTGTTCATAAATAAAGATTTTGTCATATATTACATATTTGTTTAATTTCTAAAACTATGATTTATATCAAAATTTTAATAGGATCGCAGATAGCTACAACAATTTATTCCATATTTATCCCTTAATATCATTTTTTAGTTAGATATGGAAATTCTCGACCCTTTACAAAAAATTTCAAGCCAATATCTCAATTACATTCAAAAATATGTTCATTTAAACCTGTGTCCTTTAATTTCATCTTTTTCATATTTTACTATTAAGTATGACAGAACATACATTTGGTGTTGAATAAAATATTTGGACAATTTTTAAAAATTATTTAGTTAATTATTTTATTATAATATTGTATATAAATAAAAAAAATTATAATTTTATTATGAGCCACGCACAACAACACCTAAATAACCCCACACAAATTACCTTTCCCGCCCACCGAAATATAAAACACAATTTAATACAATATCATCAGTTAGTATAATAGCTTTTTTTATTTGAACTGTTTATCTTAAACATAATACGCCGCCACAGCGCCGTCCCTGGGGCATCTGCAGGGTTCATCTTCAAAACTTAAACTCGAATACTCCTTGGCTACGCTCACGCCAAATTTTATCCCGATCGGATCAGCCGTTTAGAAATGCCAGATTTATTTCCAAAAAATTTCCATTCTGCCCCACTGTGCGGTGGTATTGGAAACAATAAAAATACCAATATTTAGTGGAGATATGGAAGAGTGGTGCTCGTTCCAAAATATGTTCAACAGGTTTGTGCATATGAGTAAACTTCCAGCTGTGGAGAAGCTAGTGAGGTTAAAAACTCACGTCAGAGGAGAAGCTCTGAAAATTATACAAAACCTTCCGATAACGGAAAACAATTATGAAGCTGCCTGGGAGATTTTAAACCAAAGATTTGGTAATAAAAGGATTTTGTTCACGAAATTAGTGGATAAAATATTAGATCAGCCCAGTACCAACATAATGTCGGGCAGCAGCTTAAGAAACTTGCTGAGTATTACAAACGAAAGCATGCAAGCATTAAAAGCGATGGGAGTTAATTTGGAAGGTGCTGATCCAATAATAGCAAGAATAATAATTAGAAAGCTCGATAAAGAAGGGCTGATTTTATATGAACAAAGCACACGGAAATCAAAAGATATTCAAATTCTCAAAGATGTGATGCAGTTTATTGAATTGCAATGTGAAGCATTGGAGGCGTCTACAACAACGAAACACAACAATATAGATGGAAATAAAAAACATCATTATCGAGCAACGGTGTTCTCTACAGAGAGCAGTTACTGCAACTACTGTAGAAGAAGCGGCCATAAAATCCGTGATTGCAAAAATTTCACTGCATTAACGGTAGAAAACCGGATTTCCTGGGTTCGACAAACAAAAATTTGTAATATTTGCCTAAACCATACGATGGATAGAAGATGCCTTGCAAAAACAAAATGCCAAGTATGTGGAAGAATGCATAATACACTTTTACATATAAATTTTGTAAAATCAACAGCAGCAAATAACACTGCTAGTTCAATGAGTACACATTCACCAGCAAATGTGTTACTTGCTACAGCACAAGTGAAGGTAAAGTCCCTGCATGGCGAATATATAATGCTACGAGCATTAATTGATCATTGTTCCCAAGTGACAACGGTATCAGAAGAAGCTTCGCAAATATTAGCGCTTCCTCGAATTAAATGCAAAACCGAAATACATGGTCTTGGAGGAGTAGTGGTTGGATTTTCAAAATCGAAAATAAAATTAACAATGAAACCACGATTTTTAAGCGACCAATCCATAGAAACAGAGGCGCTGATTTTACCACAACAGACGTGAGCACAACCAGATCATTCGTTTAAATTCAATATTGACGAATGGAACAACTTTGTATTAGCTGATCTATCACTAAATAAATCGGATAGGATTGACATCGTGATTGGGATGAATATTATAACAAATATAATTGAGGATGGAATATACAAAAAAGATGGTATTTTGGCGCAATCCACAATATTTGGGTGGATTTTATCAGGCTTGGTGAATAAGAAGACGAATCCTAGAAAGGTTTTATCTGCAGTTACAAATTTGGAGCGTTTTTGGGAGCTGGAAGAACTACAAAACTTTTGCGAAGACTACGAAGAAGACAAGATATGTTTAAACCTCTTTAATGAAACAACCGAAGTTGGCAACGACAACAGGATTATAATCTGCCAATAAAGAAGGAAGAAAACGAACTTGGAGACTCTAAGAAGCAAGCGATAGGCAGACTTCTTTCACTAGAAAGAAAGCTGGAGTCAAATCTGAAGCTGAAGGAAGACTACCATAAATTTATGAACGAGTACATACAGCTTGGTCATATGGAAGAGGTAATGGTAACAAACAGCGGCAAATATTATTTACCTCATCAGGCGGTAATTAGAGAAAGCAGTCTGACTACAAAATTGAGAGTAGTATTCGACGCATCCGCGAAGACATCAAATGGAAGAAGCCTAAATGACATCATGTATACCGGTCCAAGGCTACAAAATGAAATATTTGATATTCTTGTAAAATGGAGGCTGTGGAAATTCGTTGTCACAGCAGACGTAGAGAAAATGTATCGTCAGGTTAAAGTTGTGCCAAAACATCAAAACTACCAACATATCCTATGGAGAGAAGACATAAAAGAGGTCATTAAAGAATATAAATTAACAACAGTGACATATGGAACTGCTTCTGCACCATTTTTAGCAGTACGGGCGCTATTTTATATCGCAGATAGCTGTCCAAATGAAGAAATAAAAAATATTATTAAACAAGACTTCTACATGAATGACCTTATGACAGGAGCAGATACTATTTCTCAATGTAAATATATTCAACATGAGACTATGAGGCAACTTGAAAAATACGGCTTCAATTTAAGAAAGTGGTTACCAAATAACTTAAATATAATTGATGACATCAGCAATTCTACAAATAATGCTGTGATTCAAATTGAAGATGACGAATCCATAAAAACGTTGGGGTTGCAGTGGGATCCAGTATTAGATCAATTCAAGTTCAACATAAACTTTTCACTAAATGGCGAATTAACCAAAAGACGTGCACTATCCGAAGTAGCTAAAATCTTCGATCCATTAGGATGGTTGTCTCCAGTAACAGTAGTCGCAAAATTATTCGTACGGAAATTATGGCTATTACAATGTACATGGGACGAAGAATTACCACGCCCACATTAAGAAAATATAAAATCCGTATATTTGAGATAATATAACAGTTAGAGTCCTCAAATTTTTTCGGAGCCACTTTAGTGTCAATATGATCATTTAGGACAAAAAGTAGGCGGACTAGCATTAGGGGGCGTGGCACCTCCCATATAAATTAAATACAAAAATTCGTTTATCTGGGAAACTAATAGAACTAAATTCTTAAAATTAAGCACGAAGAACTTTAACATCCATGTAAACATTTTGGGTAATAAATTGGCGGACTACCCATGAGGGGAGCGGCACCTCCCATATTAATTAAAAACAAAAATTCGTTGATCTGGGAAACTAATAGAACTAAATTCTTAAAACTTTGCACGAAGAACTTTAATATTCATCTGAACATTTTTAAGGAAAAAAGAGCGGACCTTCATCTGGGGGGCTTAGAGCCCCCATATGAATAAAACAGAAAAATTCGTATATCTAAGAAACTATTAGAGCTAGAATCTTGAAATTTTACTTGAAGAACTTTGACATTCATCTGAACATTTAGAGTATAACGGGCGGACTTCCAATGGGGTACTTGGTACTTCTCATATGAATTAAATACAAAATTTCGTTTAACTGGGAAACTAATAAAACTAGATTCTTCGAATTTTGCACAAATTATTTTAATATTCATCTGAATATTTTGGAGGAAAAAGGGCGAACTTTCATCCGGGGAGCATGAAGCCCCCACATGAATTAAATTCGTATATCTGAGAAACTATTAGAGCTAGAATCTTCAAATTTTACATGAAGAACTTTGACATTGATGTGAACATTTAGAGAATAACGGACGGACTTTCAATGGGGCGCTTGGCACCACATATATGAATTAAATACAAATTTTTCACAGATAGATAGAAATTGGCGAACTTGCAATCATTTGCTTGACATCTCTCATATGTAACGTATTGTTAATCTGGAAAACTATTGTAGTTAGAATTTTCAAAATCGTTAAGTGGGTTTTTTATTTAATCAGTTTAAACGGCTAAACTGATTTTCTTGAAATTTTCACAATATCTTCCTGTATGTCTGGAAGGACTTATAACTGCTTTTTATGTTGAAATTTCAAATGAGCGAGGTCCCACGTATAGAGTCCACAAATTTTGTACAAGTAACTTTTGTTTAAATACAAATATTTTGGACAAAAATAGGGAGTTCAGCAAAAGCTGGCGTGGCACCTCCCATATGAAGTAAATACTAAAATCTAATTATTAAAATATGTATATCTAGAAAACTATAACAGCTAGAGTCTCCAATTTTGGTGCCTCTCACGTGAAGTAATTACAAGAAATTATATATTCTTATCTATATATATAAAAATGAATGTGTGTTTGTTTGTATGTCTGTATGTTTGAACGTTAGAGTCCTCAAATTTTGTCGGAGGAACTTTAGTGTCAATATAATCATTTAGGACAAAAAGTAGGCGGACTATCATTAGGGGGCGTGGCACCTACCATATAAATTAAATACAAAAATAATAAATTGGCGGACTACCCATGAGGGGAGCGGCACCTCCTATATTAATTAAAGACAAAAATTCGTTTATCTGGAAAACTAATGGAACTAAATTCTTCAAATTTTGCACGAAGAACTTAAATATTCAATTGAACATTTTGGAGGAAAAAGAGCGGACCTTCATCTGGGGGGCTTAGAGTCCCCATATGAATAAAATAGAAAAATTCGTATATCTGAGAAACTATTAGAGCTAGAATCTTCAAATTTTACATGGAGAACTTTGAAATTCATGTGAACATTTAGAGCATAACGGGCGGACTTTCAATGGGTGGCTTGGCACAACATATATGAATTAAATACAAATTTTTCACAGATAGATAGAAATTGGCGAACTTGCAATAATTTGCTTGGCATCTCTCATATGTAACATATTGTTAATCTGGAAAACTATTGTAGTTAGAATTTTCAAAATCTCATATGTAACATATTGTTAATCTGGAAAACTATTGTAGTTAGAATTTTCAAAATCGTTAAGTGGGTTTTTAATTTAATCAGTTTAAACGGCTAAACTGATTTTCTTGAAATTTTCACAATATCTTCCTGTATGTCTGGAAGGACTTATAACTGCTTTTTATGTTGAAATTTCAAATGAGCGAGGTCCCACGTATAGAGTCCACAAATTTTGTACAAGTAACTTTTGTTTAAATACAAATATTTTGGACAAAAATAGGGAGTTCAGCAAAAGCTGGCGTGGCACCTCCCATATGAAGTAAATACTAAAATCTAATTATTACAAGTAAGAGTGATATATTCGGCTGTTCCGAATCTCATATACCCACCATCAAACTGTATGCCATAAAAGGAATGCTCCCCTATAAACATCAGGGTGATATTTGGAATATGGCTTAAGTCAATTATGGACCGAGCTCTTTTGAACTAACAAAATTTCAGCGCTATACTCTTATTTTAAATAAGGAAAACTCGTATTTCAATAACCAAAACTCTTTCCTGAAGGGAACCTTTTATAGGGGATAGGGTCAGTTATAAATGAGTCCTCATTAAATTCGGAATGAAGAATTATGTTCCTAAGTATAAATTATCCAATTATCTGAATTTACTTCATAAAATTTTCTAAAGAGGAACTCATATGGTGTATGGTCAATTGTTGACCTATCTTCATAACATTTTTTGTAGACCGATTTTGATTCATATAAAACTTGTTTACATTAAATATCATCGCTGTACTCGAATTTTTATGCCAGTAATTAACGTTGTAATTTTATAAAGGGGGCTTGCATGGGGGGTAGAGTGAATTACCGACACATTCCGCATGAAATTCGGAGCGAATTTCACAACCGTATTTCATAACTCATATTTTTAAGCCAGTAATGATCGTTTAAGTATTTTCTGAAGGGCGGTAGGGTAAATTATGGACCGATCCTTCCTAAATTTGGTGGAGAGATTTTGGCACGCATTAAACTTATGTGCATAAATTTTCGTCACTACAGTCATATTTTTAAGCCAGTAATGAGCATTATAGTTATTTGCAGAGGGGGTCCTTATATGCGGGAAGGGTCATTTATTGGCCGATCCAAAAAAATTGGTACAGAGGTTTTGGCTCGTAAGAAACTTACGTGTGTAGCATTTCATCGCTTTACACATATTTTTAAGACAGTAATGAGCGTTGAGGCTATTTCCTGAAGTGGACCCAATAGCGGGAGTAGGGCCAATTATGGACCTATCCACATAAAAGTTATTAAAAAGATTTTGGCTCGCGAGGAACTTAATTGTGTAAAATGTTATTGCTATATTCGTAATTTTTAGCCAGTAATGAGCGTTAAAGTCATCTTCAGAAGGGGACATTATATGGAGGATAGGGTCATTTATGGGACGATCTTAAAAAAATTCGTAGAGCGATTTTGGTTCGTAAGAAACTTACTTATACCGAATTTCATCGCTATACTCGCATTTTTGGACCAGTAATGAGTGTTAAAGTCATTTTCTGAAGGGGACCTTATATGGGGATAGGGTCAATTATGGACCGATCCTCAAAAAATTTGGTAGAAAAATTTTAGCTCACATGAAACTTATTTATGTAGAATTTCATTGCTATACTTGCATTTTGGGACCAGTAATGAGTGTTAGAGTCATTTTCAGAAGGGGACCGTATATGGGGGTAGGGTCATTTATGGGCCGATCCTAAAATAGAAATGTAGAGAGGTTTTAGTTCGTTAAAAACTTATTTATACCGAATTTCATCGCTATACTCGCATTTTTGGGCCAGTAATGAGTGTTAAAGTCATTTTCTGAAGGGGACCTTATATGGGGGGTAGGGTAATTTATGGGCCGATCCCAAAAAAAAATCGTGGAGAAATTTTGGTTCGTAAGAAACTTTCTTATATCGAATTTCATCGCTATACTCGCATTTTTGAAGCTGTAATGTGTGTTTGAAGGGGACCTTATATGAGGAGTAGGGTCATTTATGGGCCGATCCTCAAAAAATTTGGTAGAAAGATAATGGCTCATATGAAACTTATTTATGTCAAATTTCATCGCTATGCTCGTACTACTAAAGCAGTTATGTCCGTTAAAGCTGTTTTTTGGAGGTCCACTTGTATGGGGGCTATCCGAAAAATTGGACCGATATTGCCCATTTTCAATACCAAACAAACCTTAGCAATAGAGAATATTTATGGAAAATTTCAACTGTCTAGCTCCTCTCGTGTGGTCCCTATCGTGATTTCAACAGACAGACGGACGGACGGACGGACGGACAGACGGACAGACGGACGGACATGGCTAGATCGTCTTAGAATTTAATAAGGACCCGGAATATATATACTTTTATGGGTCTATGGGCAATATTTCGATGTGTTACAAACGGAATGACAAAATCAATATACCCCCCATCTTTTTTGATGGTGGGTATAAAAATGTATATCTAGAAAACTATAACAGCTAGAGTCCCCAATTTTGGTGCCTCTCACGTGAAGTAATTACAAAAAATTGTATATTATCTATATATTTGAAAATAAATGTGTGTTTGTTTGTATGTCTGTATGTTTGAACGTTAGAGTCCTCAAATTTTGTCGGAGGAACTTTAGTGTCAATATAATCATTTAGGACAAAAAGTAGGCGGACTATCATTAGGGGGCGTGGCACCTCCCACATAAATTAAATACAAAAATACGTTTATCTTGGAAACTATTACAGTTAGAATCTTAAAATTTTGCACGAAAATTTTTAACCTCCATTTAAACATTTTGGGTAATAAATTGACGGACTACCCATGAGGGGAGCGGCACCTCCTACATTAATTAAAGACAAAAATTCGTTTATCTGGAAAACTAATGGAACTAAATTCTTCAAATTTTGCACGAAGAACTTAAATATTCATTTGAACATTTTGGAGGAAAAAAGCGGTCTTTCATCTGGGGGGTCTTGAAGCCCCCACATGAATCAAATAGAAAAATTCGTATATCTGAGAAACTATTAGAGATAGAATCTTCAAATTTTACATGGATAACTTT